TTTGGATATCTGTTAATCTAATGAATAACTACCTTGAAGTATTCTCTAATCTTGACTGTTATTGTTGGAAGTATTGTGAAATCATAAAATTCATTGTATCCATTGGTCTCGGAATGGCGTTCAAATAATTGGATTTGCTTCAAAAACAGAAACTTGTAAAAAAAACAATTCCCTGAAAGGGTTTGTAAAAAAATGTTTGGAAGGGGGGGGGTAGCATGTTCACTTCCATTAAAAATGATATTTAAGATGATATATGTTTTTACGCCTTATAATGCTACCTCTTTTAACACGCATGTCTTGTAAGATATAATCTTCGCTTTGTCGAGTTTTTTTTATTTATCTTCTTTGCAAATATGTTTCAAAGGTCTCAATTGGTGTGATGTTCTTTATGGTTATCGGAGTTGTTTCTCTACTGGTCTCTATTTATGGAAATCTTAAACCCAGTCACGTGGGGCTGGCCGTCACTACTGGTGCTTCAGTGAGTACATTGACAATACCGAAAAGTGATTTGACTGAATATTGTATGTTGTTGTAACATTTGTAAATATGCATACATTAGGTTTCACTTTTTTTTTTAGGAATCTGTATTTGTTTTGGGTCTTAAATAACTTACATGTATGTTGTAAAGCGACTATTAACTAACCTGAATAATGGCAATTTAAATAGAAAAACCGCCAGCAATGATCAATCCAACTGTTTCTAAACAGGTAGCACAACTGATGTCTACTCTACTGATTGCCATGGTAGATTTTCTCTCCCATGTAAATGGTGTTGAGCGTGTTTTGGAGTATGCAAATATAGTAATTGAGAAAGACCAAGGTGATGTAATACATGTTAATCATATCGCATATCGCATCGTGTCATGATATAATATTTGTAGTGATGGTTTCGCAATGCTGAATTGTATTCTACATTTGTAGGCAAAACTATGCCACCCGCTGGATGGCCATCAAAAGGGTCCATTATATTATGCAATATCTCGGTGCGATATGCTGATGGTTTGGATCCCATATTACATAATGTTAAAGTCCGATTTAAAGCTGGCCAAAAAGTAAGAGGCGTTCAAATGATCAAGTCATAACAGAATACACGGTGAAATTAATTAACGAGCAGAAAATGCACCTTTAAATACAATCTTCAACAGCATAACATTATTGTTTAATCTGATATTCGATTGAATGATTTTTTCTTACACATTTAATAGTATTAATCACCAGTATTCCGGCTACTCCACCTCTTGTACACGTTGAAATTAAATGATTGAAACGTGATTTACATTATCAGTATACAATAACTTTCAGATTGGGATTTGTGGACGGACGGGAAGCGGAAAATCATCACTCGCCCTGGCACTGTTAAGAATCGTAGACATCATTGAAGGTATTGTGAATAAATAATCACGTGTCTTTCATAAGTGCGTGTCTTTCATATGCTATATGTTAAATACATACATTTACCGAAAAACAAAATTAAAGTAATAAACTATTTATTTGTATTTTTTTTCAACCGAATTCATCATAGCATAAGAGTTTCATATATTAACTCGCATCCTTGAATTTAGTCACTTTGCAAGAAATGTACTCATTTGCAAATGAATATACGTTACAATGATTGTTTAATTTATACAAAGTTACAAATACATGCAGTTGAACAAGAACTGTGTGACTGGCTGACTGACACTGTGGTCAGTGATTTAAATCAATATCGGAGAGTAATTTATCGTATGACCAGGAAGCCAAATTCAGCAAATAACGAATAAGGATGTGCGAGTCACAACTGTTTTATTTGACAGGTGGAATTACAATCGATGGAATTGATATATCTACTGTTCCATTGTTGACCCTTCGCAATAGGATATCTATCATCCCACAGGATCCTGTTCTGTTTGTTGGGACCATTCGGTAACGTATTGACGTACTCAAATTTTATACTAGTAATAGTGTTTTTGTTACTCATAGTTTTTATGTATCATAGTTTCATTATCTAGCCTTACCGATTTCACAATCTTAGACTGTACCACGGCATTACGGCATTGTTAGTTACAGCATCTACATTAATCCATGCGATAAATTATGCGATTAACAGATCGATGATTTAAATGTTTGTTATCGCTATTGTAGGTTCAATTTGGATCCAGAAGGTGAATGTAGCGACGCTGAATTGTGGAATGCACTCGAGATTGCCCAATTGAAAGAATCTGTGCTTGAAATGAACGGACATTTAGGTATTTGATTGCACATAGACAGTACACAACCATCGACCTTACAATACCATTTCATTTAATTCATGTGAAATGCCAATGATTTGATTTATTACTTATATTATATGTGCGTTACTTATATGTGCTTTTAAACTAAAACAACAATGTGCGTGTGTTTTTAATTCTTCCTAGAGCGCTCTGTTTCATATGCATCAATACTCGTCATTCCTTAAACACGCACTATCGTCTGTACAATACATAAGTACTTATATGTACGGACACGTTCATAATATTAATAATAAGGTTAGGTTTGGAGAATCAGTAACTGTGCCTTCCGTACTGTATATGCAGTGTTATAAAACAAACTTAGGTCTATCTGAAACTGCCTGAAATATTCTAATTAATATAATTCCAAACAGTCATTCAAGAGTTATAGTATGTACCGACTAATAGATTTAAATGTTTTTTTTACTGTCATCTTTGATGTCAGATTTCGATATGCTTGGCGTGGACCAATTAGGTTGACTAAAATGCTCATAATAGTGTATGGAAATATCGACAATCAAGGTTTTATCACATAGAACCTATATAATATATGGGACAAATACACTCATTAGTTAAATAAATACATAAATAAATAA